GATCAGTGAGTCGCCTGAAACGCCCCGAAGAGCGTCTTGAAGTGTCGGATGCGACCATCGGATAACCTGTCTCCACAAGTTCAGCCAACATCCGTCGAAGGGACCTGGCTCCATCCACAAAACAGGCCATCGCACTGAACCTTGGGTGTATACTTCGACGCTAAAACGGCCATTTCTCTCGGTAGGCTACCCAAGTGCATAGGGTCAACGCTTCCAATTTACGCAGCTGACGTTGCCATAGCATAGCTGCCATGCCACACAGAGGAAGCAAGACGGCTTAAAGATTGCAAGGTTTCTGTTGAGGATACTATTCTCAGAAACTCTCTACCTTCGTATGTGCTAACAGCATTATCATTATATATGTATATGCATTGTTATTTTTCCGTCATTGCCTCTTATTCGCTTGTTGTTCGGAGCATTACACTTGTGTGCGAGGCTTCGTCCTCTTGCTATTTCGCTATACTAAGAGTCGGAATCAGACAACATAGCTGGGGAGAGCATATCATCACAGTCCGCGCACATTATCGTTACTCGCTACGTGATTGAAAGCCTAGACGGGAAAAGCTGAGGTGCCAAGGTTGTTTTCGATCCACGGACATTCCGGTCGGTAAGTCCACACCTTAACCAATAAGGTATCGCAAGCTCCAGAAAACTAACCTTGAATAATCAGATCGAGGACTTCGGAGGCTGAACCGTTAGTGCTTGGTACACGCCAACCAACGTTATCCCCGAGATTAATGGCACTCATGTTGATCGACTTCAGCTTCAAGGCGGGTTTTTGAAAGACCTGAATCAATTAAGGACCCATGCGGTGGGCTAGGCTTCTTGTTCTCAATGACATGACACAGAACTGTCAAGCTATCGGTGGTGCGCAAAACCAGGTAGTTTGTGCAACTGGTACGAAAGCACTGTCATTGGCTGTACTTCTCGGAGCTTCAGGAAGAACCACAAGGTCGTGATCCCACGCAATTTGATGGTTGCAGTAATTCGAAGGTTTACACTTCCAATGGCTAAACTGAAATATTTATCGAGCATAGCCGCGCCGGAAGTGAGGCATTATGCCGTTAACAGTCGAATAATTTGAAAAGTGGCACACAGATATACGAATGTATACGGATGTCACTAGCATACCACATTATACCATTACCTTAAGCGGTTATTGATTTACGTACCTCTAGTGAACGCAATTTGTCGCCTTTATGTTTCTCCATCTCCGCCCACTTCTTCCAGTACCCGTAACAGTATGGAAAGTGTTGGAAAAAGTCATCGAATGCTTTGCGCGCATGTTCGATGTTTTGCTAAAAATTGATACATAAGAATAGCATCCGTACTTGTTTCTCCACCAAATCCAATAACGCAGTCCATGCGCTGAATTCGGTTGGACTATCATGGGCCTTCTTCCAGAGCTTGGAGAACGAAACGGGGTAACGCATAGCAGTAAATTTCGCGGTCAAATACCGTGGCTAGATTCAGTTCAGAAAGTCTGCATAAGAGTAAGGATCGTAGTATTCGCACAATGGAGTTCAAACACGGAAAGCTAGGACGTGTCTTTGATGTGCTAAAAGAGACCGGCAATTGGGCTCAGAGAACGAGTCTAAACTTTTGAGCCCCATGTAGGCATCCTGGGGTATCACTGATGCTAAAAAGTACTTCACCAGACATTTTCCGTCGAGGCGTGATTCCCTCAGTGGACTGTAGAATTTGGTGAGCTGCAAAAATATATAAGTAGATTAGGATGTTTCTTGGTTAGAGAACATGCGCAAAAAATGCAACATTATGACACGAAACTTTTTAGTCCACTTGCAAGGGTTTTCCAGCTAAGAGTATTGTGCCACCAATGGACCTCTAAGAGCAGGAAGCGGATGGCTCACAGAATCGGGTCGGTAGGTGTCACGTCTGCTTATATTTGTTTTTATAGGCCAAAATAAAGCGAAGGAGCCTCTCCTATGGGGTTCTAGACCTTAGTTTGAAGCAATGCACTATGAAATTCGTCCCATTCAACCGATGATTTGACGCACTTCTGCCTCATTACACGCATACTTTCCAGATACTCTGTGGGACATACGCCAGACCACTTCTTGGATGGGAGAACAAAATTATCAGCTGAAGACGCAAGAAATACGTAACTCTCTTGAGTGTGTCCAACGGCATGCCATTAAAATTCATTGGTTGTGAAACTTTGCTCGGGTTACTAGATTTGGTCCTACTTGGTGTGAAACTTTGCTCGGGGTAATAAAATTGGCCCTCCTATTGCATCACCGCCTCCTAGGCAACCGAGTAATTACTTAGACCCTGTTTAAACAATGTTTGGAAGATTTTTCGTCGTTTCACCAACTGTTACGCCGCGAGGAGATGGTAACGATATCTTCGAGCCCACGACGCGCATTTCTACTGAGCAACAATTTTCCTGATATCAGACGAATAGTGCGTGGAATAACCATCCTCCAACCTTTGCTAACCCTCTATGCATTAGCCCTTTCAAGTCCCTCTTAGATGCCCTTTACGCTAGTCCTCGTGCTGGCTACTTCCCGCTAGGGACCTAAGGGGCGATGCTACATACTAATTTCCCTTGGAACTCCAGGGTGATCTACAGAATGTACAGGGCTTGATAAGTGCCACTGCTCCCGACAGTACCACCCCAGTAAAAATATTAGGTGGTTGTCCCCAAACGTGCAAACAGAGGACGCTCGAGTGGGGCACAGCAAGGACGTCGGTCGCCTCGGCGTTGTCCTACTGAACCTTCCATGTTATCTGCTGGGAACCTGCAAGCTAATCCCAAGGAATGTGTGCACATGCTAATTATTATTAACTAGTCACTGGACGCACGAGGCCACCAGCTCGACTGTTGGCACAGTTGGGCTTGTGGTCAAGCGTGACTGCAGTATACCCCAGTTGTAAGGCCATTCCCTCAGGCACTGACACACCAGAAAGGCTAAGAATAGCGGCCGGAAAATTCCAGCAAGCAAATTCCTATGTAAATGCACTTCTGCGCCCTCGAAGGGAGTAGTGCTAGTCAAGTCATTCATAAGAAGTTTTATTTGTTGTTACCAGAGTAGTCAAGATGAATTCTGATTTGTTGGGCCGTGACGCCAAATAATTAGGGTTTTCGTGCTTCATTCTGTGAACAGTACCCCTACAAGTCCACCAAAGGTACATTGAGATTGCGTAATTTAGCAAGGTGGCTTACTACACCAGTCATCAGGTTGTCAACCCCCTTGAATGCCCAACTGCATATTTCAAGTACGACTCTATTTTTTCTGAGTTCTGGGGCAGAAAATCTGCAGGCATTTAATCTTGCCGGAGAGGCTTGAAAAAGAACCCCTTGTTGATCTACGATACAGTGTACGGCAGATTGATTACTTGAACTACATTGCGCACGAGTGGAACCCTCGTCTGACTCAAGCTTGTGGGTTACATCTTAAACAGGTTCGATGCTGACCATCAGCGTTCTCTAGATATCTGCCATTCCGGATTGTGCATAAACAGGCCGCCTGAGTGTGATATACGTCCACTGGGCCCTCGAGATAGAAGGCATCAATGTGACGCAGCAAGTTTAAGTCGCGTATGCTGTTATGGCAACAGGAAGAAAACGTGTCCTGCGAACTGCTCCAACGAGCCATTCGGTTGGAGATTACTGAACATCGGCGGAGTGTTTATGGACGCGACATACAAATGTTATACGAGATGTGTGGTTCTGGACAGCTTTAGGCGCATGCTAACGGTGGATTATGATGTCGCAAGCGGAAGTGAATCTAACTACTCGAAACAGCGCAGCCGTTTTGTCCACCACGGAGATCCCGATTCGGTACTGCTTGCCCGTTGCCTCCATAGACAACGTGAATAGCCGCGAGCTGCTTGCTTTCCACAAAACTATTCATGAGCGGACGCCAGGTGTCAGTGCCATCCGTGACGGGTAAAGTTCGTATCATGTGTCAAAATAAAAAATGGATTTAATAGAACTGTTCTTCGCACGTGTTTTATAGATATACGGGACTAATGGAAAACGTCAAAATAAAGTAACATGCTGCATTCTTCCGAGACATACGTAGCTGTAGTGCGTTTCAACAGACTCCACAAATAAAGCGTGGTCGTACTAACGAATCTGCGCCAGGATGAATGATAACTCACCTGCCAAAACAGAAATCTATCGAACAGAGACATACCTAACGGAGCTGGTCGACGATTGCGGCTGTAACCGCAGATGTATGGACTAGCGAGGACATTTTCGGACTCACCGGCTACAAACCGTCCCGCCATTGATAACGGCTGTTCCTTTTTTAGCAAGGCGTTCCAGGCACCCAGCTTCCCTTCAGTAAGCCATGGACTGAAGGGGCGAACTGTCATGCAAAAATTTGGACACCCTATGGTAGTGAAGAAGATGGCAGGAGTTAGATAGGAGGGCGAAACCGGAATAAGCATCATTTCCAACTGGTTCCTCATCTAAAACTTCATCCACCTGGCTAGGACCAACAGATATCAACGGAGTTTCTGTAAAACGCAAACAATCCAAATCAAGCTATTTAGCATTGTACCGTACAACCGTTCACATTGTTTACATATATTCCTTTTATAGGTAGCAGTTCACGGCAGAACGGAACCATTAACAGTGAGTAATAAGCGTATCCGACCACTGCCAGCATATCGAACAACCACCAGTGTTCCACCATGAATTTGTTTCATATTGGCGTTGATTTCCCACAAACGCGTACATACAAACTCGAAGTACATTCTCTACGTCCCAACTGTTCGTGTTGTTCAAACCCTGGAGATTTTTTACGTGCATCATGCAGTCTTGTTGAGGTCGTCTCGATTGAGTAACGTCCATTTCTTTTTGGCAATGCCTAAACAGGAGAGCTCGTTAAACATTTACTAGTTATCAAATTCGTCTGTAAAACCTGCCTCGTTAATAGCGGATCACGCGTTGTTTTCCAAACGATGACATTCGAGGGACCCGGTCTGTAGTGCGAATGGATTCTCCTGAAGGAGGAGAGGCTGTTAGCTGCCTCAACAACTAGGATTTCGACCCTTATTTTGAAACACAAAGAGAGATACTAAGACACTATTCGAAGTAACCGTACCCACTGGCACCCTCCGCGTGATGTGAGTCGGACCGGAACTTTGTTTCATTTTCATATCGTCTTTTCTTGCTACAGTCCCTAAAAAGATTCGGATGGGAGCCAGCTAAGACCCATGAGCAATGGCCTCACTACACGTGCGGACCTAATCTGCTTCAAGCAGAAATAGAGAGAAAGTCATTGGTTCATTGTACCGATTCTGATCAGACGTGTTTGCTGTATAGACTGCGCCATGTTGAGGTGCTGAACACCTGTGAATCCGTAACGTCTACTCGAAGAATAGCTGCGGTCCTTGTTTATCGCATCAAACTTGGAACAAGGAAACCATACGCGCCAAACTAGGTCAGGTTCACGTAGCTCTATCGAGGTGTTATTTTTGGAGAACGCTGATTTTGCGGTGCCCAAACATCAAACACACGCAGTCTATAAAACCGATGAGTTAAGAACCAGACATATTTGGTGCGTTAGCTTCATACAGCTCACGAGCCAATCAAAACGAGTTGGGTTGTTGAGTAGGGGTTTTCAGACTTACTGAAACTGGTGTCGCCATGTACCCTGAGCCACGGTGGCACCTAAAGCCTCGTTCACACTTTCGGGCTGCACACTACATACTAGCGGAAACCTAGAATAAAAACCGAAGTACCACAACCGATCATCAGTCCTGGTACTTGGGTGGCTGTCATAAACTGTTGACGATCTTGGTGCTATGGATCTATCTTGGACCCCGGACGAAAACAGTGTCCTACATAAGTGAAGATGCATTCTTCTAGTGCAGCGTTTTGATCTTTATAGCAAGGTACGATTAGTTGGTTAATCTCGGTAGAACTGAAGTGTGTGCGTGTTGATTATGTCCCCGAGATTGAGGACGAAATGGAGAAGAGAGGAGAACGTTCAGCTGTAGCACCCTTCCGGTGCCTAGCTGTCATGCCACCCGAAGGAAGCACGAGGACTGGGATACTTCCAGGTCGCCCAAGCCTAGACAGGGAAAATCAAGAAGCAGAGGTCGGGTTCGAACCACGGACCTTCCGGTCAGTAAATTCGCGCTCTAATCACTTGGGCCACCTCGCCCCCCAGGGGACGAAATACTGGCGAGCTAGTTGCCGAGTTTGGCGAGTAGACACATGGACAGCAACCAATGTAAGCGGCCACAAAACCATATTTCGAAACACAAGAAATCTGTTGATTGTGTTCTCCCACTGTGATGTGTTCGACAGATGTCTTATTCCAGCCGATCAAGCCATCGTTATTGCGTTGGCCAGCTAGATACGACGGAATGATTTGGATAGGTATGCCAGAGTAGTGTGATTGTTGGGCGACTACATGAAGTAACAGGCCCCTCTGCCGACCACAATGAGAGCAGTGGGTAAGCATGTTAACTTCGTTTAATTGTACTAAACGGGAATCAGTTGAACATCAAAGAATCAACAACAGACCCGAAATACATAATCATGATCACTGGCCAATCGGAGTTGCGTAATTAAAATGCAGATGGTATTCCGGTGATGTAACACAGATACAGTTTACAAAACTGCACCCGCCTAATAGCTTTCGTCTGTGAAGCAAACCACGAGTTACCATGCAGTCACCCATAACAACAACAGAAAGCAACCAGCGGAAGAAGTCCAATGCATTCGGTTCAAAGGGAATGCCTCCCACGTAAAATAATTGGTATGTTCGTATTACTTTCTGAATCGCTGAGTAGTGTACTTGGTAAACTAGGGAGCTTCTTCGAGTCACGCAGAAGAATCCAAGCTTACGAAGTACACTGTTCTTCAGCGTTTAAACGTACTAAAATTCGTCCACCGATTGTTTCCCGATATTGGTAACCACTTGCAGACTGTGGGCATTTCGAATGCGCGTGAACTCGGAACTTGTTGCACGACAGTTTGTACGTATAATTAACATTATGAGTACTTCTATCAAACTCAGGGGGATGAAAGCAGAGGAGCTAGTGCGACACTACGGCGGCTTTTCACGTGAACACTCATACATTCTCTCGAACGCTATCCAATCGATTTACATTAAAACTCAAGACTCAGCAGGAAGACAATATATGATTCACTGGGCAAATTGTATGAC